AGTATCAACAAAAATATTCGGCAGTAAAGATTGTTCTTAAAATACATATTTACGGAGAATCTCTTATAATAAAGTTTTTTCATATAATACAGTTGTAGAATACAGCACAATTTAACTTTTTGTTTTTTTTTTAAGGAAAAAAATTCCAATATAGTTGATAAGTATCTATAGAAAGCGAAGACTATACACGAAAGACAGGAAACATGCTATCTAACGCATTCTAAAAAATGTGAGCTCCCCGGTCGTCCAACAGCGCCATCTGTTGACTCGACGCCCAACTAAACGGCCGACGTCGCTCAGTGGGGTGTGCTCAGTCACTCGGGCTCATGTTCTTGGTCAGTTAAGACATATTCAGAGGGGGTTGTGAATAGCTTATTTACTAATTATATATATATATATAATTCATATCGTACCATGACTCTGTAGTAAAATTTATTTTCTTCATATAATTCTTTCGCCCCTCCCAGCCCGAAGCTACCCATTCGGCAATTTAGGGCTGATTAACAACTGTAAATTGGTAGTTCATATATGCACGGCATATATACGGCATATACAACATGCCATATACAGGACACATTAAACCACGTGGCACAATGAACTTATCGGCCTACAGTTACATAACATTAGTGATATTGCCAAACATGCATCAATATATAGAAATTGAGTGTGATCAATTAAAGAAAATTATCATTTTTATTTTTATTTTATAATATCTTTATTGAATAATAAAAAAACCTTTACAAATAAATGTCCGAAATACACATTTTTATTTCAATTCTTCGCATCGTGACCGCATGATTTTGAGATTAATTTCCTCATTAAAAGGTTTTTATTTTTGATAAGGGGACTGCCCCCTAACCCCCTTTTCTAGGAGCTGCCTGGAATGCATCTGCTACACCTTGTATACTCTGGCTAGGAGCTCGAAGCATGCCACCCGTCGTTATCCTGTTAAAATTTGAACTTGTTTTACTTTTTCTATATTTCTGTTTGTTCCTACTATACAGATCTACTAAGTAATGAGCACTGTTCAATTGATATACATGTTGATTTGGGTGATAACTATAATCTAACTCAAAATCAACCTGACAATTTTTTTCACTCAAATCTATCGTCAGCTTACGTCAAAGTGTATATTAAGGCTTGAACTATAATATTAAGTAGATTTTTGGCCTCTCTTTTTTTTTTAGACGGGCGTCATGACTTGACACTACCAATCTAAATAATTTCTTGTGATCCAATTTATATCTTGCTTATGTCAATCTGAACATCACATATCTTAGCTTATATCTAACAAAGCATAGATATTACAAATCTTTCTTTTTCCTTGGAAAAAAATCTGAAATATAAGTTGTTTATTCTCTTTTTGTTTTTTACAAGCAGAGCAAGGATAAGACTTACCTAGCATTGTCGGAACTGCCAATCCAATTTTCGCGCTTCTATGTAAATAAACAGACGGTATGAGATGACGTCACGAGATGCTCACTAACGCCATCTATTGCGCCGACGCCGCATTACTCAGGATTTTGCTCGACTTTCCGGTCTTTCGTAGATAGTCTTTGATGGAAAGTCATTCAAACTGCGCGCCACTACCCATACTCCTTTGCGTGCGATATCGCTGCAAGGCAACGGCCGTCTGTACAAGGGAGGCCAAATTCACTTTTTTCATCCTTTTTTGAGTGACAACGTCCGTGGAGTGGGGTTTATGGAGAAGTTTTGCTTTGTAGTCCTTATTGTGATACAAAGTGAGGGTAATTTTCTATATTACCTCCGCCTCTGGAAAGTCATGTTAATAACCATGGTTATTTTCACTGTGGGTTATATTATTAATGTTATTCAACCCCGCATTTTCCCTGGAACCTTCCATGCCCTCCCCTGCTATCGGGACCAAGTTTGTCGCTAACGGGGGGTTTCCGCGCAATAAAAACTATATATTTGCAATGTGGACAGTGAGAGAATCCAACGATACCAAAATCGTCGATATCGGAGAGGCGGAGGTAATATAGAAAATTACCCAAAGTGAGTGTTAACAGTGTGTATATTTTATATTATTATACTTTGTTGTTCGGCGCCGCGGTTCCCCAATGGCAGTGTTTTGTGACATGTCAATGGCAGTTGCTCCACAGCCAACCTCTTTTATTTTATGATGCTCTTGCTTTGAATGGGAATGCCTTGCGAAGATTTTAGAAGTTCTTTCAATAATAGGATAATATTTGTCATATTCTGATTTTCATATTTCGCAATGGGCTGATGCTCTTTTTATACAGATTGCCGAAATTCATTTATTTGCATCTCCTGTATTTTGTTTTTGCATAAATTCCGGTAACCTTATATTCAAATTAATGTTGTTTTCAGCTCGAATGCTTATTGTGAATTGGCTGTAACGAAAATAAATGTTGAACTACACTGAAGTTATTCTGAAATCCTTGAATTAGGATTGAACCAACGTACTGCGTCTAACAACAGTTTTTAGGAACTAACATTCTTATTGTATTTTTTTTTTTAATTACTTATATTTTCCAAGAACTAGCATTATTACTGAAAGTGAAGTATAACATAAAATTACTTTTCTCTTCTAGAGTTTAGGACCAATTTTTTTTTTTTTTTTTTTTTTTTTTTTTTTTTTGGAATAAAAGGCACTTGGATAGAGTTATTTGTGATATCTAAAAATAAGTACTCTTATTGTATTATAGTCACCGTTATTCGATCTTAGAGAGAGAGGGGGGAGTGGAGAGAGAGGGAGAGAGAGAGAGAGAGAGTTAGGTGGAGAGGGAGAGAGAGATAGAGAGACAGAGAGAGAATGCGAACCACAGCTCCAGAACATGAGGTATATCTTTACTTCTGTATCCTTAACTCCTGAAGTATATGCATTCACAAGTATAGTGAAGGAACCGCATATGCCAGACTAAGGCAAATGGGGTAAGTGATTGTGTCGAGTGCTCCATCTTTCGCGCCGGAGGCCACCTTCTTTTACACAAGATAACCTAAAGGAATACTCTCCTCTCCCATTCTCTCCCTCTCCCTCTTTCCCTCACTCTCTTCCTCATCCCTCTCTCCTCTTCCCTCATCTCTCTCCTCTTCCCTTCTCCCTCATTCTCTCCCTCCTCTCTCCACTCTCTCCCTCTTCCCTCACTCTCTCACTCATCCCACTCTCTCCCTCTCCTCACTCTCTCCCTGTGTCTCTCTCTCCTCCTCTCCCTCACTCTCTCCCTTTCCCCTCACTCTCCCTTTCCCTCTCTCTCACTCACTCTTCCTCTGTCCCACTCTCTCCCTCTCCCTCACTCTCCCTCACTCTCTCCCTTTCCCTCATTCTCTCCCTCTCCCTCACTCTCTCCCTTTCCCTCATTCTCTCCCTCTCTCTCCCTCACTCTCTCCCTTTCCCTCATTCTCTCCCTCTCTCTTCCTCTGTCCCACTCTCTCCCTCTCCCTCTCCCTCACTCGCTCACAGGCACTCTATTCCCCAGGCCGACTGCCCCGACGAGAGCGACGAGAACCACTGCGAGCTGATGACCATCCCCGAAAGCTACAGACGCCACATTCCCCCGAGGTCCTCCCAGAATGACGCCGCCTACCCCGTGAGCCTCCACGTGTCCGTCCTCGCCCTCGAGATCATCACGGACAAGATGGAGATCGTGATGGACTTCGAGGTGACGCTCCAGTGGCTGGATCGCCGCCTCGTCTTCAGCGACTTGAACGAAGACAGCGTGATCAATGGCCTCCGCTTGGATCATCTGAACAGGCTGTGGATCCCCGAAGTTTGTTGATTCTTTAGAAAGTTGTTTTCGAGAAAAAATATGATTTGAGTTATAAACACTGTACTTGATTTATACCAGTCAAATGAGGGACCAACAATCATTACGAATTCAATCTGTTTACGTGAAAGAAAGCAGCGAAGACTTGAATATACCGTGCTTGATCCATATCAAATCTTGCAAGTTCGTTGTCATTTTCCAAAGTCTAATTATGGGTCTGCGACAAATATTGTTCTCACTTAAGTTAAGAGAGGAAAAAAAATAGTAACAAATAATATACAACAGGTCTTACGCAGTCAGTTGTTTTTATTCAAGGTCTATTTAGGGGCGTGCAACAGTTACTTACTGTATATATTAAAGAACCACCCGCTCCAGGTATCCTTCGCCAACGCCAAGGGAAATGCCCACACCCTGATCGACGGGGAGACCGACGGCAGCATCCTTCGCTGGGGAGAACCTAGATCCGGCGACTCCACCTACAGTAGGGAAGGTCAGTAGCAATCCCTTCCAGGTCAATCGAGACTTTCAAAATCCCGAACTTGTGAAAATATTACATTCAGCTTTTGGGCGATCGTGTTTTGTTTCTCTTCCTTCACAGTATACTTCTTCACGGGCGCTGAAAACCCCATCCAGCTGAAGAGGAAATATTCGGCGACGTACAGCTGCAGCCTCAATCTTGCGCTCTACCCCTTCGATACTCAGGTCGTTGGAAGGGAGAGGGAGAGAGGAGTGGAAGAGAGAGAGTGGAGAGAGAGAGAGAGAGTGGGGGAGAGAGAGAGAGAGAGTGGGGGAGGGGAAGAGAGAGAGAGTGGGGGAGAGGGAGAGAGAGAGAGTGGGGGAGAGAGAGAAGAGAGAGAGAGTGGGGGAGGGAGAGAGAGAGAGAGGTGGGGAGAGAGAGAGAGAGTGGGGGAGAGGGAGAGAGAGAGAGAGAGTGGGGAGAGAGGGAGAGAAGAGAGAGTGAGTGGGAGGGAGAGGGAGAGAGAGAGAGAGTGGGGGAGAGGCGAGAGAGAAGAAGAGAGAGAGAGTGGGGGAGGAGAGGAGAGAGAGGGAGAGAGAGAAGAGAGAGAGTGGGGGAGAGGGAAGAGAGAGAGAAGAGAGAGTGGGGAGAGCGGGCCGAGAGGGAGAGAGAAGAGTGGGGGAGAGGGAGAGAGGAGAGAGAGGAGAGAGAGAGAGTGGGGGAGAGGAAGAGAGAGAGAGAGAGAGAGAGTTGGGGGAGAGGGGAGAGCAGAGCAGAGAGAGAGATGGGGGGAGACGCGGATCGACGAGAGAGCACGAGAGAGAGCCCACGTGGGGGAGACCGGGGAAGAGCAGAGGTGGGGGAGAGAGAGACGAGGACGACGAGTGCGGGAGAGCGGAGCAGAGTGAGCGTGGGGAGAAGGCGACGAGACACGGAGAGAGCCAGCTGGCGGGAGGAAGGGACAGACGAGAGTGGGGCGGGGGAGTGAAGACGAGTGGGGGAGACGGGAGCAGAAGAGAGACGAGAGAGCCTGGGGGGACGAGGGACGAGAGAGAGAGAGAGAGAGCACGTGGGCGGAGAGGCGATCGAGCCAGAGAGATGAGACGTGGGGGACGAGGGCAAGAGAGACGAGCGAGAGTGGGGGAGAGGGATGAGAGTAGAGAGGAGTGGTGGGAGAGGGAGAGAGAGAGAGAGAGTTGGGGGAGAGGGAGAGAGTGGCGGGGAGAGGGAGAGAGACGGAGAGAGGGGGGGAAGAGGGACGAGGGAAGCAGAGGGGGGCGGGGGGGCCGGCGGGAGAGGGGAGAGAGAGAGCAAGTTGGGGGAAGAGGTGAGGAGAGAGTGGGAGCGGGTGAGAGGGAGAAGAGAGAGGTGGGGGAGAGGAAGAGAGAGAGAGTGGGGGGGTTGGGGGCGGGTGGGGGAGGGAGAGAGAGAAGAGAGAGTGTGGGAGAGGGAGAGAGACGAGAGAGAGTGGCGTTCGGGGGGAGAGGGAGACGAGAGAGAGACGATAGGGGGAGAGAGAGAGAAAGCAGAGATTGGGAGAGAGGGAGAGAGGGGGAGAGGGGAGAAGATAACGGGAAGAGGGGGAAAAAGAGGGAAGGGGAAGGGAAAGGAGAGAGAGAGGAGGAGAGAGAGAGAGAGAGAGGTGATTACAACGTAAGAAAGAAAACGAAAGTAAGAGAAAGAGAGAGAGAAGGTTGAGACGAACAAAAACAAAGCACACAAACGCCACTCACGCTAATTTCATCAAACACAAACCCTATTAAAAAAAAACACCCGAAACCTGACAAATATATCTTAAACATAAGAGACGGGAGGCGACACGAGAGAATGGGGGAGGAGGGAGAAGAAGGGGGGAGGGGGGGGGGGGGGAGGAGGGCGAGCAGGAAGGAGAGAAAACTCGAAAAATGTGAGAACAGAGAGGTGTGTTGCGATTACACCGGGGTAGAGGAAACAGAGATAGGTTGATGGACAAGAATAGAAGCTACTAATTTTAAAAAAACCCTGAAGTTTTTCTTAAACAGAAGGCCATCATTAACGATTATAATAACAGACCCACGAACAAGTAACAACTATGAAGGGCATGAACTGCCTTGTTGAAAACGTACGATCCTACACAGGTTCTGGCGCGCTCGCTTGTGACTTCGTGTTAGGAGCTGTCGACGATTTTGTCTCGTGGGGTGGTCAGCGTCGCCAGAGGGGGAAGGAAAACTGGAACTCCGTAGGGCGGGGGCGGCGGGGCCGATGAGCCAGACTCTTCTCTGGGTGTGGTGCCGGGGTGGATACGATGGGACGCGAAAGGAAAGTTGGCCGGGGCGGGGCAAGCTCAATGGAGTTACACGATCGAACACTTTCTTCTTCCTCCGATGTTTAGGAACAAAAAAATCACTCTAAATACAGCCAGAAAGAGGTGCGTCCGTCAAATAAGTCTACTTTTTGGAAAAAATACATTCACGTTAAAGCTGATTAGTCAATGGGTAGTAAATGATGGAATAAAAAGTAAATGGATGAATAAAGTTTAAGGGAAACTGTCAAATATGTTTCGAATTCCGTTCTCGAACACAAAGAATGTGACAAATGGTTTCGAAACTTCATTCACGATAGGCCTACACGACTTTTCCGGAGACTGTACTTATGCATAGACCCCCTGCTAATCCTTCCATTATAACCGCAATTACCCATATCAATTGTACATTCCTACAAACACTATTCATATCACTTCCGAACAGGTGGTGGTTCAGTTCCGAAGGCGCTAACCCCAAATATAATACACAAACAAACAAAAAAGGACACTATAAATGTACAAAGGAATAAGCACCAACACCTATAATAATCCAGCCCTGATTTCTCGACGTCTTCGCCCGGCGGTAATCCAAAATAAATACACAATAAAAATGAATAAACATAAATACACAAAGAAATAAACACCAACACTTACATACTAATCCATCCCTGAATTATAGACTTCGCCTCCGAAGGCGCTACCCCCGAATATGATACACACTCAAACAAAAAAGGACAATATAAATACACAAAGAAACACCAACACTCACACAATAATCGCAGACTGATTTCTCGCCCTCTTCGCCAGGTGGTGGTCCGCTTCCGGAGGCGCTACGGGTTCGCCATCCTCACCGTCTACACGCCGTCCTCCTTCTTCGTCTGCATCGCTTACCTCACCACCTTCTTCCCCGTCTCGAATTTGCAGGTTCATTCTGTATCCACTTTTCTTTTTTCTCTCTTTCTCTTCATTTTAATTATTCGTTATGTGGAGTAAAGGATCACTATCGTTCTAATTATAATCATTATCATAATCACTTAATCACCAATTGATTATCACAATAGTGTTGCCTGCGGGATCTTAATAGCCAATATAAATAGATCAATAGTGAATATATAAATGAATGACGCATGATTTCATGATCCAATATAAGTGATTAGTATTCGGGTATCACATCTACATCAGAATTCTACTTAGATTTTGCAAAGATTTGTGAATTGCATATTCTGTGTTTTGGTCTTTTCATCCATATTTTTTTCCGTTTTTCATAAGCTCTGTGAGTGTGTGTGTGTGTGTGTGTGTATGTGTATGTGTGTGTGTGTTGTTTCAATACGAGAGAAGAACTAAGCACACTTTTTTTTACTGTTCCATGTTTCCATAGTTTTGTTTGGGAAACTAAACTTCTTGACATCTTTTAACTTTTTGTAGTGTCCTTTCGTCCTTCTTGTGTTCAAGATTATAAAGTCATCTTTGTCCAACTTCACTCTTCCTGTTATATAGTTGAACAGCATAATCATGTCCCCCTTTTCCTTTTTTCGTCCAAAGTAGTAATTTCTAATTTCTATAGCCTACCTTCGTAGCTCATATCTCTCAGAATAGTGTCAATCTTGTAGCCGCTCTTTGTGCTCTTCCTAATTTGTCTATATCGTTTTTTTTTTTTTAAGTGTGGACTCCATACCACCGTACTCTAGACTAGGTCTTATGATTGCTGTAATGATCTTCTTTACCATATTTTCGTCCACATACACGAATGCCCTCTTCATGTTGGCAATTAGTCCTGGCATTTTATGGACCTTCTTCATTTATATGATCATTTGGGCCAAGGCTTCTGTTTATGATTATCCCAAGATCTTTTTCCCTGTCAGATGTGTTTAATAATGTCTCTCCTAATCTATATTGAAATAGTGGGCGATTTTTACTTCCTCCGCATTTATTGGTGCTGAATTCTATTTTCTAAGAACAACTCCACGAGAATAAGTTCACGGTGTCCTTTGGAGACATTGGCATGAGACGTTGTCTATCATCCCTTTTTTGCATCTTCGCGTTGTCTGCAAACATATTCAGATAACTACCTGGGCTTATGTTTGACGCTAAATCGTTGATGAGAATAATAAACATGATCGGCGCCAACACCGATCCTTGTGGCACTCCGCTGGTTACTCGTCGCCATGTAGAATGCTTCCCTCTAAATACTGTGCTCATCTGCCTTTCATGAAGTCTTTCATCTATTCGAGGAGTTAGCCTTTCACTCTATGTAGGTACGCTAATTTCCATAGTAGTCTTCTGTGAGACACCTTATCAAAAGCCTTTTTGAAGCCCAAGTACACACAATCCACCCAGCCGCCTCTTTCTTGTAATATTTCAGATACTCTATCATAAAAACAGATTTGGTAAAACCAAATTGTTCAGTTGATATCATTTCGTGTTTTTCAATTACTCCAACAATAAGGGAGTACATAGTACGTGTGTGTGTGTGTGTGTTCTCGCTTGCTTATGCGTATTATTTGCTTAGGTCCGTGTGATCATCGCGCTGACGGCCATGCTGGTGCTGACGACCCTGCTGAACCAGGTGTCAGCGCAGCTCCCGAGGAACTCCTACTTCAAAGCCCTCGACATGTGGATGTTCGGCGCCATAGGACTCATCTTCTCCATCCTCATCCTGCAGACCGTGGTGGATGTCGTTCATAGGAAGGCGCAGGAGAACGTTACAAAGGTACGGAGCCACTTCATTTTAGTTTTTTTCATTATTTTTCATGATTTTACCTCTATTTTTGTAGAGGGAGGACTGCGTTTTACCGAATGTATCATATTCTTAAGTCTGTTGAATTTAATCGGATTCTCTTGTAAAAGACTTATTTGCATTAATGATTTTATTTTTATTTAGTTTTGTAGTGGGAGAAACGTGTTTTACCATATTTTAAAATTGTTAAATTCAATTGGATTCTTTTGAAAAAGAATAAGCTAATGAATAAGACATAAATACATGAATATGTATACACTAAACATCATTAATAATATTATTAGACCTACAATACGCTTTTGAATATAATCAAATTGCAGTTATTCTCACAGGTTGTTCCAGCGTCAGAGAAAAATGTCGTTCAGTTCGTGTCCGAAAATCCCAATACGGAGCAACGTGCAGTCAGGATGTTGAAGTACATGCAGATTATATTTCCTCTTCTCATGGGAGTACTAGTGTTAATATACTCTATTTACCTCATTAGTACCGTCAAATAAGGTTCTTAATTAGAGGAGTATCCCATGCCATGTTCTCTATCATAGAAAACGTTGATGTAATTTGAGGTATAACTGACCTGTTTGTAATTTTCTACATTATATGTTTACCAACACATTTTTTGCTCTGATATCTCACACATTTTTTCTTGGTTACATAGATTGTTCAACAGTGTAGAAGAAATAGCATCAATTAATGTAGTCTGACTTTAGAATTGATATTTATCATAACTGATATTACTGTCTGAATGGCAACAATGAAGATATATCTGATAATTGTAATGACTAAAGTTAATAATATTAACCGTAAGATTATTATCATTAGCATTTTCAATATTATCCTATTTCTTATCATTGTAATTGCTATTATCCTATAAATAAACACTGATGAGGTATCAGTATCAATGAAACAAATACGATATGCCTACTAATAATGATAGAAGAGATAATAAAACAACATTCGCTGTAAAACCTGCGGTGATTATGAAGTCAGTAACAGTAATATTAGTGATCTTAATAGTGATTATAGGAAAACAGTTAAGATATGCCATAATAATAGTAATACTAAACATAATGAACAGATTATATTATATTATATTACCGATACAGATAGTCGCGATGACAAACAATGAAAATAAGAAAAATTATATGAACAAGATTTCTGGTCCTTTTATCATACCGTTATTGTTATCATCATGTTTATGGAGATCGTTATCATCAATGGTTATCATTTCAATATCATATTCATCATTGCTGTTATAATAATCTCCATCATCACCATCACGATGATAGTGATACTGATAATAATGATATAATGATGTTGATAATAATAGTGATGCGACTACTAATAACAATGGTTATCATTATTTTTTATTATTATTATCATCATTATCATTATTTTTATTATTATTATTATTATCGTGATTATGATAACGAATAAACAATATTGACACTAATGGTTATTATCACTATTATTAGTAGTGTAAATGATAATGATGAGAAGGATACCAATAATGACTAGAAGCACTCAGAGAGCGCATACCTCCGCCAAGGCAATAGGGTCACTGATGCAATAAGAAATATTCACACTCGAAGAACTGCACAAACAAGTGGCGTCCGCGTTTCCTTATCTCGCAAAGCTAATGAATCCTTTTAAAAGATCCTGGATCACCAACATTAATTAATGGCATTTAAGTTGGGCGAAGACACACCTCTGGTAAAAATTTAATAAAAATGTGTTCCTAAAATTTTTAGTTATCCTGCTAACCAATGAACTAACTAATCAATACTATCAAAAACATAACCTTGGCGGAAGTAATAATGATAATAATATTAGTAATATCAGTAATAATATCAGTTATTTCATAGTTATGGTTATAGTTATTATGATATGAAAAATATGATAACGCTAATAAAGATTATAATTGGTATTTGTATGCGAATGAGAAACCAACATTGTGGAAAAAGTAAGAAAAATCACGTATAATAATTTTCTACCGTTTTTTTTTTTTATGTAGTAGAGTGTTTATCATAGAGTACGTATACATATAACACGCCAATGGTAAATTTATAAATCATGGTATTCGTAAATCAAACCAGATCCGAATCGCATTTCAATTATTGTAGATAAAGGTTTTCATCAAAAATACACTGATTCGTTTTATGTTGAACCTTAACTTTGGATATGAAGCGATGGAGGCACTATGTCGTCAGTTCTGTGATATCAATGATATAAAAACGATGACAATGATAATGATAATAATTGTAATGATGCCAATGACTAGTAATAGAAATAATAATAATGATAATGATAGTACTGATGATAATAATGGGACCTAAGTTGGGGCTAAGACACAACCAGGTAAAAACATCATAAAAATCTGTTCATAACTTTTTGAGTCATCCTGCTAACTACCTAACCAACAAAATAACCAACAGTATAAAAAGTAACCTCTCTGGTGGAGGTAATTATTTCAAATATACAGTCTCGCTTTTCGCCAGTCAGTGTGTGCTTCTAACCTCATCCGGGACACGAATTCGAACTTTTTTGTTTCTCCCTTTCGTGCCTTCAGTGGTTCTCCCTTTCTCCTTTCCATTGTGTCTCCCTTTTGTACCTGCAATGTTTCTCTCTCCCTTTCCTTTTTGCTCATTTTCATTATTTCTCCCTTTCTCCCCTTCATTGTTTCTCTCTGTCCCTCTTCCATTATCTCTCCCTTTCCTTGTTTCTCCTTTTCTCACTTTCATTATTTCTCCCTTTCTCACTTTCATTATTTTTCCCTTTCTCACTTTCATTATTTCTCCCTTTCCCACTTTCATTATTTCTCCCTTTCTCACTTTCATTATTTCTCCCTTTCTCACTTTCATTATTTCTCCATGTCCCCCTTTCATTGCTTCTCCCTTTCATAGTTTCACCCTTTCTCCCTGTCTTTCCTTATTTATCCCTTTCGTGTCATCACTGTTTCTCCTCTCCATTTCATTGTGTCTCCCTTTCGCACCTTCAATGTTTATCCCTCTCTACCTTTCCTTGTTTCTCCTTTTCTCGCTTTCATTATTTCTCCCTCTCTCCTTTTCTCCCTTTCTCCCCTTCCTTGTTTCTCTTTTCAGTGTCTCTCTCTTTCATCATTTCTCCCTTTTGTACCTTCAATGTTTCTCCGTCTCCCCCTTTCCTTATTTCTCCTTTTCTCCCTTTCTCATTTTCATTATTTCTCCCTCTCTCCTTTTCTCTCTTTCTTCCCTTCATTATTTCTCCCTCTCTCCCCTTCATTGATTCTCTCTGCCCCCCTTCCATTGTTTCCCCCATTCATCGTTTCGCCCTATCTCCCTTTCCTCGTGTCTCCCATTCGTGCCTTCAGTGTTTCTCTTTCATTGTTTCTCCCCATCGTACCGTCAATGTTTCTCCCTCTCTCCCTTTCCTTGTTTCTCCTTTTCTCCCTTTCATTATTTCTCTTTTTTTTCCTTTTGTCCCTTCATTGTTTTTCTCTGTCCCCCTTCCATTGTTTCCCCCATTCATAGTCTCACCCTTTCTCTCTTTCCTCCTTTCTCCCTTTCGTGCCTTCAGTATTTCTCTCTCTCCCTTTCGTACCTTCAATATTTCTCCGTCTCTCCCTTTCCTTATTTCTCCTTTTCTCCCCTTCATTGTTTCTCTCTGCCCCCCTTCCATTGTTTCCCCCTCTCACAGTCTCACCCTTTCTCCCTTTCCTACTTTCTCCCTTCCGTGCCTTCAGTGCTAGTCACATCCGAGGTGAGTACCCACGCCGCTGACCCATGACTCATGAGCTGATTACCTTTCCGTTTCTCCTGTGATTCACCGGGTCGTGCAGGTGCTTTTGTCTCACCGCGGTCTTGCTTTGTCCTCTTGTGAAGGAGAGGAACTTGTGCGCGCGAGGGTTGGAATAGGGTGGAAAGTGTTTGGTGTAGACATAGGTGGATAGATGGATGGTTGGATGGTGGGTGGATGGGTGGATGGATAGACTGATAGGTAGGTAGATAGATAGACAGACAGACAGATACATACATACATACATATATATATGCATATGTATATACATACATTTGTACAGAGATAGTTTATATACATCCACACACACACACACACACACACATATACATATATATATATATATATATATATATATATATATATATATATATATATATATATATATATATATATATTTATATATATATGCGTGTGTGCCTGTGTGTGTAGACGAGTCATTTTTTTCTTTTTTTCTTCTCCTTTTTCCTCGTCCTCTTCTACCTCTTTCCTTTTTCCCTTTTTTAGGTTTGCTTGATCTTTAATCTATTCCTTACGAAAATATGAATGACTTAGCATCTTTCTGGATTACATAGCACTTTTAAAAACAGTTCCATTTCCTGCATTATTCCTTGTTTCGTCAAAGATTGCCTTTTTATTTCATTTCTTCCAGTGATTTCAACTCCGGTTTTAATGTTTTATTTGGTTTGTTTAGTTTTACTTTCAAATCAATTTTTAATTCATCGTTTAGTTTCTTAATATTTAATGTTTTTTCCTTGTTTCCTCGCACCGCTTTATCCTTTCTTTCTCGTGTCCTTAGCTTTATCACTGTTTCTCTTATTACTAGTTTAATAATTTCATCCTCATGTGCCAAAATTTATCATTCCTTCCTTGTATTCCTGGCTTTATCACTTCTTTCTCGTATACATACATTTATTATCTCTTCCTTGTGTACCAAACTTTAAAATTTCTTCGTGTACCGAAGGTTATCACTTCTTCCTCGTGTTCTCAGCTTTATCATCTCTTCCTCGCATTCCAAGATTTAGAATTTCTTTCTCATATTCCTACCTTTATCATTTCTTCCTCGTGTACCAGTATTTATCATTTCTTCCTTCTGTGCTGATTTTTATCATTTTTTCCTCGTGTACCAAACTTTATCACTTCTTTCCCGTGTACCAAATTTACCATTGCTTCCTCGTGTACCGAACTTTATCATTCCTTCGTCGTGTACCTAGCTTTACCATTTCTTCGTGTGCCAAAATTTATCATTTCTTCCTTGTGTTCCTAGCTTTATCATTCCTTCCTTGCTTACCAAACTTTATGATCTATTCCTCGTGAACCTAGCTTTATTCTTTCTTTCTCGTGTACCAAACCTTTTAATTTCTTCCTATTCCACTCACTTTGTCGTATCCCCCCCTCTTTATCATATTTTCTTCGCGTACCTCGCTTTAATACCTAGGAGACTTCGTCGTGCCATGCCTTCCTCGTACATGAGTCACATTCCATCTCCCATATATACCCCCATTCTTATATCCCGTTATATCCAAAGGCAGCCTTCCTCCTTGCCCCCTCACCCCCTCCCCTCTCTCCACCTATCCTCCCCCCAAACCCTCACATTAAAACAAGCGGCAATCGTGTCATTCATAATTTTCTCTCTTTCTATTTGTAATTCCCATTCAGAAAAAAATAAAGTGTTTTCATTGAGAGAATGACTCCACCGTTCCTCCCCTTCGGAAATACTCTCTAACGATACGAAAGTGAAAGAGGAACGAAGAGGGAAGTGAGAGGGGGGAAATAAGACAAAAAAAGAGTAAATATACATCCAGGGTTTTGTTCGCTTCCAACTACCAATTAGGCCTCACAAACCCACGTGCGACACCGCCATTCATCAGTATATACGGCGGCCATTTAGAATTGCCTTCTAAGGGAGAAGTGATGAAAGGCGTAAACAGAAATGATGATAGGTGCAAGAGGAAGATTTGATTAAAAAAAAAAAAAAAAAGGCGTACGAGGGAGATATGATAAA